ACCAGTACAGTGGGGGATGAAGTGCAGAATGTATGGCTTGCGTTTCGATCTGGGTCATGAATATATTGGCAAGAATGGGTTAAACTGGATTTCCCATACTTAAACCATCTACTTGAAGGAAATGTTCGTTGTTGAAAATGAAGTTGGTTTTAGTCGTTGTAAATTCTAAGAGAGAAGCAAAAAGTGTGCTTGGGAGGTGGATTAACTTGTTGGGGGTCATTAATCTAGTGATCAAGTGTGATATTGCAAGCTTCATTGGCAGGGACTTCTGTGAAGAGTGACACAACATCAAAACTAGCCATTAAGGCTTTAGAATTTAGTTGGTCTAGTGTGTGTTTGAAATTGAAGGCATCTTTAAAAAATGAACCTACAGATGTTATATATGGTGTGAGAGCCCAGGCTATGTATTTGCCAAGATTGTAGTTGAATGAATCATAAGTGGACAGTATAGGTCATAGGGGGCAGTCCTGTTTGTGTGGTTTAGGAATGCCATAGAGTTGTGGTGTGTGTGAATCAGTTTTACGTAGATAAAAATAAAGATCATCAGAAATTTAATTATCTTTTTTCATTTGTAATAAAGTTCTGTTTAGTTGCTTTTTGTGTGTGTTTGTTGGGTTGTTTGGGATGGCTTTGAAATTCTTTTTATCGGAAAGGATGTCGTTCATTTTGTTGATGTATTCTGAGTTGTTCATGATGACAGTGGTGTTGCCTTTATCAGCTTTTAGAATTTTAATGTCAGTGTCTTTTTTCAGATTATAAATGGATTGGATCTCGTTACTTGTGAGGCTACTTTTCAGTTTACGGGATTGATTGATTATATTAATAGTCTTGTTTGAGAATTCTTTAAAAAAGTTATTTAAAATACAGTTTTTGGGAACTTCGGGAAACCACATTTTGTTGTAGTTACCTGTGATAAAAGTCTGTTGGTTGATGTCATGGATTTCTTCTTTCTGTAGTTGGAGAATGTTTGAAGTAGAGGTGGTCTTTTGTTCTTTTATGTAGCGGGTCACTAGTCTTCTGGCTAGATCTTCTAGGCACAACTTGAACTCTAGACATGGAACTGTTCTATGGTTGACGGCAAAGTTGAGACCTTTGTTTAAAAGTTGAAGTTCTGTGTCGTTGAGTGTCCGGTCAGATCTGTTGATTACAAGGTTAGGCTGAGCTGCATTGTTGTGTTTCACTTCAAGTTGTTGTAGTTTCTTTAGTTAATCTAGTTTCTTATTGTGTATGGATTTCTTTTCTTGATTCAAAAATGAGTTGTTTTGGTTGATAGCGCGTTGTATATTGCCGTAAACCTCTGGTTTAAGGTAGCAGGCTAGTTGGTGGTCTAATTTCTGTTTAAGTTTTTATAAGTAGTCTAGTTCTTGATATTTGGAATTCAGGGTTGCTGTTAGGAGTTTTTTCTGCATGTTTTGGATAACTTGACCTTCACAAATTTTGGAATTAGCTTTTCAGAGTGTCACTGTCTGAGAAAGTAAATATCGTTTTTTTCCTTTTGATGATATTTATATTCAGATTACAAAGTTTAAAGATTATTTCTTGGTATGATTGGTTTATGGTGGTGGATAAGTGAGAGAACATACTTTAAAAGTTATACATGGAATAACAAAGATAAACATTTAGACTTACACATCATTATCATTCAAATTACACTAGAGCCAAGGAGGCAAAAATCCGGTGTTGTAGTATTAAAAACTTGTTAAATGGTGACATAAAAAAGCTTCTTAAGCCAGTGTTCCTGATAAGATGCTTGAACATAAATGTTTTTTCATGTTTCTTTCGTATTGCATGGAAAAGTTCATGGACAGTGACTCTTCAAACAAGTGGTTAATTTGAAGAGTTATGCTTAAACGCTTGTAGCTTACAGACTGTAATGGACTGACTGTTATAAATAATGTGAATATATCCATCAGATATCAAACTGGAGCATTTTTTTAAACGTCAATGTAAAAGACTTTTGTTTGCTAAAGAAAATATACACCATGCTGTAATATTTAACTTCTCTTTGAATCTTTTTGTTTAGCAGCAAAAGTAATACTTAGTTTTCACTGTGTTCTTCTTCTTCTTCATTTTAAATGGTAAGGAAGGCTATAAATGTAGGGCCATTATTTATATACTTTTAGCTGGTTATCAGTTCTGGAGAGCACTCGGTGGTTGCATTATGTAGGGGGTCTTTTACGAGCTGCTGTGATTGTTGTCAGTGCCCTGGATATTGAGAAGCGACCTGTACTTGTTCACTGTTCTGATGGATGGGATAGAACTCCACAGATTGTAGCTCTGGCAGAAGTCATGCTGGACCCTTATTATAGAACTATGCAGGTATGGTATATTGTTTCTCAAGGTAATTGTGCTAGAACTTTCTTCTGGAAATTTGTATTAAGGGTAAAATAAAATCTTGTAGCAGTATGTTTGTGGTGACACTTGAATTTTGGTTTATATACCTTTTGAAGTTTTTCCAAATCTGTTTGTGGCTTCTGTACTGTAGGTGTTTGTTTGTTTTTCCTCCTGTAAGTATCCCTAGTGAGGCTACTGATAGACGGCATAGCCAACTAAGCCTATTCTTTATGGGGGATTACATAGTGTGTGTGTTGTTTGTTTCCCATAAATAAAGTTTACTTTATTCTTTCTTTAATATAACTTTCGTTCATCCTATGTACACGGCATAGTCACATTCAAAATGTAATTAAACAACTTTATTATCAATGTATGTCAATAAACTTGGCATCAAAGCATAGTTTATAAGTCAAATTTTTCATTATCTAAGTTTTAGTTTCTTAATTTCAGTAGAAAATATTACAAAAAAATCTTGAACTCCAACTCTCCTGTGTCATGTATCTGCACACTGAATCCTCCCATATAGATTTTATATCTCTGTCATGTATCTGCACACTGAATCCTCCCGTATATATTTTATATCTGTGTCATGTATCTGCACACTGAATCCTCCTGTATAGATTTTATATCTCTGTGTCATGTATCTGCACACTGAATCCTCCCGTATATATTTTATATCTCGTGTCATGTATCTGCACACTGAATCCTCCCGTATAGATTTTATATCTGTGTCATGTATCTGCACACTGAATCCTCCCATATAGATGTTATATCTCTGTGTCATGTATCTGCACACTGAATCCTCCTGTATAGATTTTATATCTTCCCTAATATGGCTTTTAGTGTCCAAACAATTATAAACACAAACTATAGGTAATGTCAAACAAGAACATAAAACTTGCTGAGATATCAATAAATTTGTTAAACCCACCAGAAAAGCCTCTTCCATCTTTTCATAGTTTTCAAAGTAGTTATCTAAATCATACTTGACAGACATGTTTATATCTAATATAAATAGCATTTCCACCTCAACAAAATCATCATTTACTTTTGGCAAAGCATGTGTAGACAGATTATTTGTCTATGATTGTTGTCTGAGCATTGTGTAACCTATTTATAACTTAGTTAAAAAGCCAGTTATACTGTAGTAGTTTTGGAACATTCTATTCTAGTGACTGATATATTTTTTTGTGTTTTAAATTCATATTTGAAAGCTAAATGACTTTTCATTTTGAACAACTACCTCAGTGAAAAATAATTGAGGCTTAGCTAAGCTATGCTTGCTAATAGTGGTAAAGATCAAGTGGATCCCACACCCTGCTTCTGGTGTTTATGACAGATAGCTAATGGACTTCTTTTGTGACTTGTTAATTTTGGTCCAGTGTACAGGTGATAAAACCGGACAGTTAAAACAGATTTGACAAAATGAACAACTGAAACTGTGAAGATCAGAAAATTGAATTTTGGAGAGTTATGCATTCAAAGAAGGAAAATTGATATTGTTCATTTGATTTCACTACTATTAGTGTTAAGATAGAGAAAATAACAGATTAAATATAAATTTTTACCAAAAAGCTTTTGATATTCATTTGGTAGTATCTAGAGGTTTTACAGATAAAATATGATGGAAAAAGTATACTTCTAATCATAACATGGAAATCACCTTGCATTCAGATTGACTCAGTAAAGGCTTTATAAATTCACAGACAAATCTTTTAAAATAATACTTCATTGAAAATTTTTGTTTGTTTGTTTGTGTACAACAGTTATGTGATGTTTACTAAGAACTTGGCAAATTTCGTTAAGGGACTTGTATTAAATTCAGAATTATAGTAAATATTGCTGTGGTTGTTGTTTCAGTGGACTGACCCCATGCACCTCAGGTTACTTTTATTGGTTAGAATGTTTAATATATCTAGTTTTGTTATTATTTTGCATTCTTAGCTTAGTGTTCAGGTTTAGGACACACCTAAATTTCCTAAGTTGGCCTAACTTCATAGAAAGTTATTGGGTTTGCAGCAAAAATTATTGTTAACACTGAGGACACTCGATGGATGAAACAATACATTCAAATCTTTATAAGTAAGAACATAAAAGCAGTATATTTAATTACTGTTACAGGTAGCTATGCTTATTACATGGTCAGTTTTGATGTGTGTGTTTGTGTATTGGTGTTTTGTGCGTGTCTTGTATATATATATCAGGATAACCATGCATGTATAATGTAGTTTTATTTGTGTCTTGTATATATCAGGATAACCATGCTTGTATAATGTAGTTTTATTCATGTCTTGTGTATATATATCAGGATATCCATGCTTGTATAATGTAGTTTTATTCGTGTCTTGTATATATATCAGGATATCCATGCTTGTATAATGTAGTTTTATTCATGTCTTGTATATATCAGGATATCCATGCTTGTATAATGTAGTTTTATTCGTGTCTTGTATATATCAGGATATCCATGCTTGTATAATGTAGTTTTATTCATGTCTTGTATATATCAGGATATCCAT